CCGTTTGATTAAATCATAGCCGATGCAGGACGAAGGGACCCAGGTGATTAAATTGTAGCTATGGTGTGTCATGCAGATGTGATCTACGTTTATGTATGACGACCTGTGTATACAAACAACTAGCGATGCGTTCCATTCATTCAGTGATTTCGTCCAAGTGTATGACAATGCTTTGCTTATTGTGATGATCGGTCAAAGTGTACGGCAATATAAACAAACTACTTGTGCGTTGCTTTCGTATTTTCCGATGCTGAAATGAAGGACTCGCTCAAGCCATTTTTAAATAGATTTTTTTGTTTACATATCCCACAACGTGCGTTGCGGCAAATAAATTAAATCAATATATTCCAGGCTCCCCCACGTCATTGCAAGTAACGGATTGCAAGGAACAGAGGCGCGCAAGTGCTTGTAGATGGCAGCGTCCCTGGCAAGCTGGAAGCGTTTTTTTTTTGCTTTTTTTTCTGTCAAGCGCGCACGCGAGACCTGCACGCTGGCGCCTTTGGCTTGGCAGCGCGCCCTGAACCCCGGCGAAGGTTGACAACATCCTCATTCGGAACCGCTGCGCAAACGAGTGCGTTGGCGATCTTCCGTTCGGAACGTTGATCCTGTCAGCGTGGCTAAAGCGCAGCGCAGCGGTGCTCTTCGCATAGCGAGGAACCTAAGAACAGCTGAGTGATCGAGCAAAAATAACAACAATTGTTGCCGTTTTACGTCCCAAAACCACGACTGGTCACGAAAGACGCCGTAGCGGAGGGCTAACGTGCGCATGAATCTCAGCCAACGCCTCCTAGAAAAGCTATGCCTGGAACGTAGCGCTCTTTTCAATCGGGAGCCTTCTGCCAGCACGCAATCTCGGAGGCCATGCCTCCTGCCTTGTGTTGCGACCGGCCGCCGCGTGAGCCCGCTCGCCTCCGTACCACTCAGTCACGTGACATAACCGTACCTTCATGCGTACCGCTTTGTTACGGCTGCTCGGAGGCGTAGAGTTTCCCAATATACACTAGAGCGAACTCTGGCGCTAGTGTCTATGGGAGCTGCAATGCACAGCGCTTCAGCGAGCATGGGAATGATGGGTAGTACACACATTTGTCTAAACTTCGTACTTCTGGCCTTCTCTTGGCTCCGTGTGTGTTCGTGTGGCTTGAAGCTGTTTTCTCAAGAAACAAAAATCAGCAAATGTTCAGCGATTGCGCTTCACCACCCTATTTTTTTCGAATTTCCTTTCCAAATTGGGTCACGACATTCAAAAGGGTTGAATTTTTCTTTCAAAACAAAATCGAAACACATAAATAAATGAATCCGCAAGTACGATTCGCCACCCGCAAGTACGAAGACTAGGCAAATGTGGGTACTACCCATCATTCCCATGGTCGCTGAACGATCGCAGCGCCAGAGTGCCCTCTAGTTAATTTTGAGAAACTCTATGCTCGGAGGCAACTGTGAGAGCACTGCTGTGTTCGCAGGGGGCGGCCGTCGGAGACGGTCGCCTTTGTACTGAAGGAGGGTAAAATCAGAGGGTAGGGCAGCGCGTTCGCGGCTCACGTTCCAGGCATAATTTCTTTAGGGGGCGTTGTCTCAGCACACACCGAAATATGGTCGCCGAGGCCGGGATTCAATCCCGCCACCTTCAGGTCAGCTGTCAAGCGCCATTAACAGCTATAGGCCAGCGCGGAGGGTCTTGATGATATATCTCCCATAGATTGAAAGAAAATTGAATGTATGGGAGATATATCACGCATTGTTATTGAAGAAATAACAATGCTGATTGATGGTTTGTGGCTAAATAAATTTAGCGTATACTTGCACAGCATGAAGGCGCAATGATTAAAAGAAAGCGGAGCTGGGGGTGGCTCTGGCTGTGGTTGTTACGGCAAATTTAGCAAACATTTTTCGTTCTCTCTTCCTCAGGCTATTTTTTTCCCCTATCATTTCGCCTTTTTTATTATATCTATTTCTCTTTCGCTTTTTTCTCTATTTTCTTCTCTTTCTCAATATTTTTTATATATATTTTTCTTTTCCTCCTTTCTTTCTCTAACTATATGCAGTTCTCGCCTCCTCTTTCGTTCTATATATTTCTCCCACTTTCTGTTTACACATCCCCTTGCTATTATATTGCATTTTTTTCATCTTTCCCTCTCTTTTCTTTTTATTTATACAACCTTTTTCCATTCTGTCTCACTGTTTCTTTTATCCCCATCCCCTGCTAGCTTTCGGTTAAAGTGACCTCACTGAGACAGTTATCGTGCACTCTTCTACCATTTTCCTACCTTTTCCTTCCGACATTCTTATTTTTTCTCTTTCCTTTTCTAATTAATAAAGAACTATGCTACGCTCTGCTGACTGTGAATACGCGTGGGTTCGAATCTTACCTCGTGCAGAATCCTTTTTCCCCTCTAGCAAATATCTTTTTCTCCATCTATCTCTCGCTCTCTTTCTCTCCGTCTCTCTCTCTCTCTCTCTGCACGTTCTGTCGCCCCTCACAGTTTATTTATTTATTTATTTATTTATTTATTTATTTATTTATTTATTTATTACAAATACCTACATCGCCCATTGGGCATTGTTGTAGGGGGGTTACAGTAGAAAATAGAATACAAAACAGCAAAATTAAAAGCAAATAAATCGTGCATTACACTATACAGGAGAAATCAACACTTGTAGTACAGCATTAGGACAAAAGTACAAAACACAGGATTATACAATAAAAGCAGTAATTATACATTACTGCATCAATCCCGTGTCGAAGAAATCGTCGCACGTCTTGTGAGAGTGAAGCATAAGACGAGGACGCGTCACGTCACGTGACGGTGACGTGACGCGCCACGTCACGCCAGCTGCGCGCGTTCGCACGTGTTCAGGGAGTGACCTGATCACTCGACGAGGGTTTACGGCTCCGTTGTGAAGGTTAGTAGGCAGCTTTAGAATACCGTTTGCAAGCGTTGCGGGCGCCATGTGAGTTTTAGAATAGCGTTTGCCCTGCTGCGAACCGCAACGCACGGTCGCAGTGACACCGTAGCCCCGAAACCAGCGCTTGCGGGCCACATGCGGGCCGCGACCGCCGCCCGCAATTTCGGATTTTCTGCGTGCGGTCCGCGAACGCTGACTCGCGTTACGACGCATGCGCAGTGGCAGCGAACGCACCGCAAGGGCTCGCGGTGCGCCATTCTAAAACTCCCTAATATCTTTTAGGAAAAGAATCGTTGCGGTGTTATAAGTGTTGCGTATGGTAAGGGAGGCGTGAGTAGCACTGAAATGTGATCGAACTTTGTGTAGCATGACATGAGCTACACTTTTGGTGCGACTCTGCAGCTTTTCCGTATACGGAGGACGTCTCCTTCTTTTCCTGAAATTTCGCATGGTTTAAGAATGAAACGTGTGGGAAATACCAGCGTTCGTGGCTGCTTTTTTTTTCTTTGGTATAGTACAAAGAGAACAACGAACGCTTACGGAACGTACAAAAAAAAACTTTATTGAGAAATTATATCACACACGAGCAGCGCGTACACGGAATTACGCGTGCTTATCACACACAGAACAGAAAATGTGGGGAAGCATGTATTTACACAACATGAGAATGCGATCGTCACATGACTTGTTTTTTTTTTTCGGCGATCATTGCACGCCATCCTCTAAAGTATCATTATAGAAAAAAAAATGTGAGAAAGAATAAAGACGTGAGAAATATTCTGTGGAGCTCATGATCCTCGTATTGGCAGCTGAACCACGTACACGAGAATTTTTGAAAATTAGGATCAACATTAATTTCAGTATAGTGTCTACGCTGAATGTTTAAATTTCCCAAGACGGACTATCAACTTCTATATGAGAGCATAGCATTTCGTTTACCCTGCAAACACCGAGGAAATCACATATATCGTTGTTTTATGCTCTATGCTCTATGAGTGCCTTGTTTAGTTTTGTTGGGCCGCTCACTTATTTTAAAGGTATCACAGACAAGCGGTAGTGCAGAAGGGTATGTGACCTTTGGCGGGCATGATGCTTCTTGGAGTGGACAACAAATATCGTCAGTACTTAGCAGAGCCTTGACTTACGTAGCTCTCCGCAAATGCCTTAACTTGGTAATTCTTCCCCCCCCCCCCCCCCCGCCTCTTTTTTTTTTTTTTTGTGGAGCTTAGAGCTGTGACTGCACAGTAGTCACACAAACACTTGTAATCATAAACTTGCGTGCGTCGAAACAAAGGGCCGGCTGCGCCTGCGCTGCAGTCGCCGTGACCGAAGTTGGCAACCTTAATTATGGGAGACGCGATGTTCCTAGTCTTTGACATCGGCAGTAGTGATCGCATCGTTGGAAACTTTAATTACGGGAAACGCGATGTTCGTGGTCACTGACATCGGCAATAGTGAACGTTTCGGATGCCGTGATGTTCTGACTGGACTGGAAATAAATTTACACCCGTCACTGCCTTGTCGTTATCTTGCCAATGCTGTGGTCCTGCCTTCAGATGAGGCAGCGTAGACTTACAATAATTTTGGTGGTTTTACGGGCCGAAACGACAATGTGATTATGAGAGACGAGTGTTTTATGGGTATGCTGGCATTTTGTGCACCTTTGCATACTAATTCGCGCATTTAAAACTCTTGTTGTCCTTCCCTTGAACAGAGAAATTATCTCATAAATTAAAGTCAATACTGAAACTATATGCGCCGCGAGTTTCTTATCAATGCGCGCTCGAAAGTCGTGATCCCACTTGCAACGCCCCATTCGATGCGTCACGGATCTTATAGATTGTGCGAAGAAGTCGGGTTCGCGTTTCGAGTAGCATCCATTTTTCGTTTTTCAACTATTCAACTACACTTCCGCTGTAGGTAATGTAATGACGTATGTTTTTGGGGCGTGATAATCCCACAACCTCGCATATTTCTCAGGAACTGATTCTTTCGCTGCCCAGTGGATGACTCGCCTGCAACGATAGACTACAGCACACGCGCAGCTTGGTTGGCACGTGCCCCCCCCCCCCCCCCCCCCATCGCGGGCGGATTGCGATTACAAGTTTCGACGATGCTCAGGCGGCAGTTCTCGTGGCGTTCCGTTCCTGCTTTTTGGGTGAAGTCCTGCGGATGCGGCCCAGCAAGAAATAGTTGGTCGACGACGGCAGGGGGCTCGAGATGGCGTGCACGGCGGGGTTGTTCAGCAGCAACGTGTGGTACGACGTCTGGTAGGGATTGTGAGCCAGGACGTGGGTAGCGGTGCTGCCGAACGTGTCCTCCAGGTCCTCGTTCTCGTCGTCACCCACGTAGTACGGGTCCTTGTCTGCAAGGAGCACGCAAACGATGCGCCAGTTCAAACGACTTTCTCTGCGAGTGCAGGTATGCGTTACAATGTTATCAATACTTCCAAGTTAACATAATCGGAACGTGTGATAAAAAGGAGAAATCAGAATATACTATATATAGCTTCAGCTATACGTAAAGGTGAAGAGAAGCTATGGTGGAATGATACTCCTGTTACCTTCGCCAGGAAATGAAGAAACACCACTATAAGGTGGCTATTTGGGCAAATTGTACTTTTAAAGGAAAAAAAAAGAAGCAGTGCCGAAGACAATGGATAGTGGAAAAGGAACATTACACATGCTTTCTTTGTTTTTTTTTTAACTGTCCCTTGTCGTCCGAGCTGTTTACTCATACAAAGAATCTCACTTTGGTCGCAATCAGTGTCCAACTGGGGCCTCGTCTGGTACAACTACCAGACGAGGCCCCGCGAGAAAGCGTACAACTACCAGACGAGGCTATAGGGACCCCGCGAGAAAGCGTTGTTGTTATATTTAGCGTTTGAGTACAGCCGCGGTCGCCACAATAATTATCATATCACAAGAGGAACAAAAAAGAAAGAATACGAAATACGCGCTATGTGGTTGGCGCAAGCATGAAGAGCAAGCAAATTTAATTGACCAACAAAGCTGCACATTGAAGAAAGTGTTAATTCAAGGGCTCGTTTTCTTTGTATAAGACACAAGAATAATGATAATTAACAGACAATAATGTCAATTAAGGAAAGTATAGGGGATGTTATTGGAAGCAATTGTAATGTAAATGTGAAGAAAGAAAAGTGCACGAAAAGATAACTTGCCACCGGCAGAGTCCGAACCTGCGACCTTCCAATAACGCGTCTGATGCTCTACAATAACGCGTCTGATGCTCTATATATATGGTGGCAGTCATTCCCCAGTCCTCTTTATAAAGCGGACGGGGGATGGCCGCCGCCGTAGCTAACGGGTTCGTTCGCATACATAGCTAGGATATACTCAAGTCGATTACTCATGCGGGATAGAGTTTTAGTTTGTTTCTGTGCTCTTAGTTTATCTGAGATGTTTTCATCAAGCATGCGATTTCGTTAAGATTGAAGGGCATCGCACTTACCGCAGAGCCCGCTGTAGGTGCCGGCGGCTGGCACAAGGCCTGGCCTGCACGTGGGGACCGGCGACTGTTCGTACATGGCGCCTCCGATGATGTTTCCTCTGCAACAACAGCAGCAAAAGAAGTAGCATTAAATCGACTGTTTTTGGCTCAGCTCGTTCTCGTTCTGTCTAAAAGAAACAGAAAGTGACAGCGCTAAGACATCCTGTCATGAAATATGAAAAAAAAAAGGAATTATAGTTGGATCTCAATTCTGAATATAACATTAGAATTTCTCATTACCTATATATCTACAGGTGACATTTGGTATAGACATACTCTCTCTCTAAGAAAAGCAAATTTCAGGGGCCAACACGAGCCTAGAGATCATTATTTTTGCGACGAATCGCCAGCTGTTTTCCTATTTGGCGCTGCATTGTGCCCTGTATACGTGGCTTTCTCGAAATGATTATATGTGTTCTCGAGTTAGTGTAATACCGTGGCTCCTAATAAAGTGCTTATTTGCTCACTCAATATATCGAAAAAAAAATCTCTTTTAGGCTACCTGGCTGGTTGGGGAGGGAATGAGCGCGATCCATGTTCAAAGATTTCGAGGAGAGCTTTTAGCCAAACAAAGCCAACGAGGACATGAAAAAAAATAAGGAGGCAGGTAGTTGGCAGTACTGTCTGATTTGATACATAAGAAATAGCGTACTGAAAGACGGTGTTCAAGGCTTAAAAACAAAAGGAAGAGCGCCACGCCTCCAACTACTGAAAAAAAAAATTCCTGTGAAAGCAGGGTGTCGCTACATGGAGTGAACGTCCCGACGTGGGGACTTGTCTTTTTCAAGGCTGCAACAGCGGCACCGATTATGACATATTCGCTTGTCGAAACATTGATTCCATGGAGCGACATTGCGTGTTGCAAAAAAATTTTCATCGCTTCATAATGACCAAGTGATGCGCAGAACACATTTCGACGGAGCAACGTACTTTCTGCACCCTTCCTTACATGTTATCAGCGCTCTAACAAAACAAATCGATGAGTAAAAAAAACATCACTATATATGTTGAAAGGAATCTACTTATCCTCCCGTTTAGATATACAGACGCGCTGTCGACAAGAAAGAAAGCATAAAAAGCAGTGCTCTGCTTCGTTGGAGGGTGTTCTGCGCGTCACGTGGTCAGACCGTTTCGTTCTAAATGTGGTGTCTGTCGAAGTTCGGCGCTCGTCATGCGTGTTCTTTCGCCGGGTTCGTCATGATCTTGTGCGTGTCTAAGAACAGGAAAAAATACGACGTGACGCCGATCTACCTGTGTCCTCGTCCGTGTCCTTGGCTGGAAACCATCCTCACGACAGGCAGTCAACTGACTGAGGCAAGCGTTGTTTTGAAACATTTACCCCCGTATTCACAAACGCTCCTCGACTCGACTTTCTTCCTTCAGTTGACAGAGCTGAGCACTGTGCCACCACTCAGCTGAAAATGACGCTGCGCTACTCAAGATTCACAGCAGATTATTGTTGATATATAGTGACTTGCCGTGCCTAGAGACGGCGCTCCAATCGGCTTTCTCAAGTGAAGGTTAAGCGTTGAGTGAAGGGACGTTCTAGAATACGGAGGTTAGTAGGACAGTCCAGCGGCGTGACTTGCAGCTTGCGGGGACATCACTGCACGCGGGGACAACCACAGCTGATAGCATTAGGTGTTTGCTTTCAAATACTTCATGAACTATAGAGCATGAACGCTCGTTTTCACAACTTCCTCGAGCACCGCTGACGTTTCTGCTCTAACGCAAGGGCCAAAGTTCCGTCGCACAGTGAGCTACCCTTCACAAACCAGTGTAGTCGATGGGCCAAAGTTCCATCGCACAGTGAGCTACCCTTCACAAACCAGTGTAGTCGATGGGCCAAAGTTCCATCGCACAGTGAGCTACTCTTCACAAACCAGTGTAGTCGATGGGCCAAAGTTTCATCGCACAGTGAGCTACCCTTCACAAACCAGTGTAGTCGATGGGCCAAAGTTCCATCGCACAGTGAGCTACCCTTCACAAACCAGTGTAGTCGATGGGCCAAAGTTCCATCGCACAGTGAGCTACCCTTCACAAACCAGTGTAGACGATGTGTCATGGGTAAGCCCACGATACGTGCACAAATACTCAATTTACAAAAGAACGTCAATGTGCCTAGGAACGCGTGGCTTAAAGAAAAAAAAAATTATGGCAAAGAATGCGACTCATTGACTGCTTCGCATGAAAGCGATTCCTAAAGTGCGTGTAGGATCTGCCATTTTTTTTTTCATTCTGACATATTTTAATACGTGCATACGCCTCGGTAACTTCCCTGCACTCGTCTCTGCAGCGAGAAATGTCTGTGTTGATATATCTTATGGTAGTTTAACACGGTGCACATTAGATCCCGATTGAGCCCATTCAGCGTCACATTTATCGGTCGTAAATTAGAATTATTAGCGCAGACAGGAGCCAGCCAGTTGCGGTCGAAAAATTCGATCCGCTTTGAGCTCGATAGCGATCGAAAGTGACCGTGTGACGCAGGTGTTGAACAAACAACGAAAGGATCAGTCTCTTGCTTGTGGCAAAGGCGTATATAGTCATCGTTTCGTGGCTACTGTTGAACTACCTGTCAGCCATCCGTCAATACCACTCCCGATAAGCACGTGCTGTAAGCATCGTGCACTCTTCTAGAGTTGCGGATGTACCCCTCTGCACAGTTCGTGTACGCACACTTTACGTCGAGTCATTTGGACACGATTATCAGTGTGAGGAACTGTGATAGTGCGACTTGTCACCCTATTGTTTCCACTCGAGCGTGCCTCGTTACGGTGCAAAACGAGCCCTCGGACGAGCCTCGGTATCGGCCATGGCCCGCAGTGAGGGCGAAACCGAGATAATGCGGCCACTCACCCGGGTCCGTAGTTGCAAACGTAGATCTTTGTCAGGCCCCGCACAGCCTGGCGATAGTAGGCATAGCCGCAGCCAATCTTGTAGGTGTCGGCCCAGACGAGCTGCCGACAGAAGCAAAGAAAAAAAAGTGAATCTTGAAGTTCGCCAGTGGTGCACTCTTTTATATATTAAAAAAAAATTGACTATTTGGGAAGCACTTCTGCTACACCATATACGGTGTCATATACCTCGCGCCCAACAGGAGCAAGCCAGAGAGAGAGAGAGAGAGAGACAGATGAAAATAATTGTTGAGAAAAAATACGCCCATTTTTTGCTCAATTTTTTTAATGCATAGCTCATTTTCGCTCCGGTGGATGTATAACATGATTGCAGTTGATAATAGTTGCTTTCCAGTGTTTAATAATGTTCTGGTGTCTTGTCTATGTATTCTTTTCTTTAACATCGTTCGTCAGTGCCCGCTCCCCTCTGCAATGCTGTAAAGCCCTGAGGGTACAATAAATGAATGAATGAATGAACCTGTGTGTATGCTAAAAACATACAGCTAGCTCTGGGCAAGTGAAGGAATATAAATCTTTTTCATAGGGCGCTTTTTTTTTGTAGCTGTGGAAAGGTATATACTTACAGGTGAAGGTAAGAGAAAAATAAACGAATTTGCCATCAAATTTATTTTGGAGGCTTTACCACAGGGGCTTGCTAGCATTACTTGAGTGTTTCGAACATCATCGCAACAAATACAAAACGAGCCTGTTTCCTTCTTTGTCTCCAGTGTTCATTTTTATAGCTTTGTCTGTAGCAAGTTATTTACAGCGCAACACCAGACAAACACAGGACAAGGAAGGAGCAAAAGAGAAAGAAAAGACGGCGCTGACTCACAACAGTTGTGAGTCGGCGCCGTCTTTCTCTTTTGCTCTTTGCCTGCCCTGTGTTTTAGGGGCGAAGCTCCTTAGGGCGTGGGCTGTGCGTCTCCTGTAGCCTGTATGTAGCCACCTCTAGTTTAGTTCTTGCAGTGTTCACTAGATGGCGGTACCGTCCCCTGTATGTAGCCACCTCTAGTTTAGTTCTTGCAGTGTTCACTAGATGGCGGTACTGTCTCCTGTATGTAGCCACCTCTCGTTTAGTTCTTGTAGTGTTTACTAGATGGTGGTACTTGTAGCTGATGATGAAAAGATGCAAGATGTTATAAACTAGAAAGCGGTACTTGTAGTTGATGAAAGACGCGAGATCTTATAAAATAGGAATGATGTCACATATGGCGCGTGTCATTGGTTGAAGGCAATCGTTCGATTTAGTGCGGTGACGTACGCTAGGGGGAGCGTTGCAATAAAATCGAGTGGGCAAAATGTACAGAGGATTCATGGTTTACCAGGTTTACCTCCGGAGCTTCGCCCACTCATCATCATTCACTTCGTGGATATGGCGGAATTTTTTTTCTGGTGTTGAGCTGTAAATAAGTTCACGATGGATCTCCTAACCAACTGGCCCAACTTACCGTCTTACTGTAGCAAGTTAATTGTGCTGAATTGCTCACATTGAGTGTAGCAGTACCTGAGTGAAGTGTCCTAGCTTCTTGCTGAAGCTGAAGGGGCTGATGGAGGCTGACTTGAAGTGGAACTCTGTGGCTTCGTTGTACCAGGCGTAGACTTGGGAGTCCCAGTCGGGCTCGTCATGCAGGTCATCCTCGAAGTCGTACGTCCAGACTAGCGCCACGTTCTGGCCCACGTGGAAACGGCCTGCGACGTGGTTCCGTTGCAAGTGAATCTTGTCAGCAATGAGTCCTTACGGAGCGCCCGCCAGAATTTTATCTTGGATTGACGTATGGCGACTATTATCATTACCAATACCTTGCGATGGCTGCTTCCAGCGAGCAAGGCTTTAATTTGGGTGAGATGGTACATGCTTGCTTCGCTGAGAAAGCGCAACGAAGAAAAAAAAAACAAAAAGAAAAGAAAAATATGGGACAGTGGGCGAGCGCTGTTTCTTTTGTGATATCTAGTTTTTAAACGGCTTTCTATTCTCAAATAATTTTTAAGTTTATGGCTTCATTTACAACGCAACTACGGATTTCAACTTCCTTTTTATTTAGTGGTGCTTATGATTATCTATACTGACCACAGTGTCTTCTCGATTTTTATACGAATTGACTGTGAGGTCCATCGAGGAATGTGCCTTCCGGCAAAATGTTATAAAATGATGGGCCTAATTTAGCGTTTGTCTAAGAGTACCTCATAGTCTTAACCGGTTTCAAGAAGTGGCTGTGTACTCACTGACACTCCTCTCCTTGTCGTGGCCATCTGTGCACTGGTCGGCCCACCGCTGAGCAACAGTCGCCAGTTCATCGTCCCAAGTCTGAAAAGGTTACGCGTTGCAACATATACAGGGGCTCACGGTTTATGTACTTCTAAACTTACCAAAAAAATTTGTTGAAACGAAGTAAAGGGTAACGCAAGCGGCAGTCACTAAATTTATTAAGTGATTGTGCAGTCTCACTATCAGAAAGTGAACATGCAATGAGTGACAGGCATATGTGCGTGCAAGATGGGGCGGGGGGGGGGGGGGTGTAGCTGGAGCCTTTCTTCTCTTGATAATCTAAGTGGGACGCCAAGTGAACCGTTTATTAAGTCGGACCTTTCCCGTCGTAGCCTGAAGTGAAGAGTTGTGGCCACGTAATTTTTTTTTACCACAATAGAAGCTGAACGCGCTCGATGTTACATTCCAAGAACAGTTCACATCCCATTTTTAATAATAGGTGAGGTTTGATATTATTATGAGAGACACCTTAGTGGAGGGCTCGAAAAATTTCGACCACATGGGGTTCTTTTACGTGCACCAACATAGCACACTCTACACGGACCTCTACCATTCCACCTCCATCAAAATGCGATCGCCGCGGTCGAGATTCGATCTCGCGACCAGCGGGCCAGCAACCGAGTGCCTTAGCCAGTATACATCACACTTTAACGCCGGAAATCCGGAGACTAAAGGCATGCTGTTGTGAAGAGCACGTCATTGCTCCATTGTCATACTTGCATCCATTGAAAGGCTTACTTTATTTCGGACTTCTGCAATGCGGTGAGGTTAAACCAACCCCTTGACCCCTCCCCCCCCCGCCCCCGCTTCCCTAACGGGAGAACCTTAATTGGTAAGAGTCTGAAATAAAACAAGCTTCCCACTGGATGCGAAAATGAAAACGAAGAAAGGAAACGCAGAATTCTCCTGTCTACGCGCTGGATAACCCTGTTCGGATACAGGGATGGTGTTGATGAGGCAGGATAAATGTTGAAATGGTCGAAAAGTATCAGTCGCTCAAGAAGCTTTGTGGACATTGACGGGACAATTTGAGGCCTCAACCGCTAACCAGTATGCGTGCATGTATAACGGAATGTGTACGTGACACATTCCGCAGGACGTCAGCAGAGCTAGGGACCCCGCGAGAAAGCGTTGTTATTATTTAGCGTTTGAGTACAGCCGCGGTCACCACGACGATTTACGTCGTTGTGCACGTCCGAGTATACATAAAACCTGGAAGGTGTAATCGGTAAATACGCTAGAGTTACGTAGCATATGTCGCGCGCGCACCGCCTCCGACTCCAATCGCTCGTTTGGCTTAGCGCCCACGTGTGAAGAGCTTGAATGTTTGTTTTCTATAAAATTGTTTTTTTTTTAATCCGAAAAACCGCCCTTGCATGGTGACTTGCAGTGCCGTTGTCTTTTTTGTTTTGAATAACTTACTGCGTGTCCTGTCACTTCTTTCGCCGACATATGCGAAACGTCACGAGTCATACGCGACACGCATTTCATTAAAAAAAATTGCCGTAGGGTCGATGCCGTCTGGCTATCTCGTGTTCACCTGTTGCAAGTCTCAGGCTACACCTTGTTTGGACAACTGTCTTCTTTGGCGGTATCAGTGCACCAAGGACGATTTACTGACGAGCTTGCTGGAATTAATCTATGATCCTGTTTAACCAACCTGTTTTCCGCAATGTCCAATGGAATCGGTAAAATGAAAACATTTTTTACTCTTCCGATGGAGGCGGAAATGTCGTAGGCCCGTGTGCTCAGATTTGGGTGCACGTTAAAGAACCCCAGGTGGTCAAAATTTCCGGAGTCCTCCACTACGGCGTCTCTCATAATCATATGGTGGTTTTGGGACGTTAAACCCCACAAATCAATCAATCAATCAATCAATCATTTTTTACTCTTTGGGAATCTAGCCGCCTGTTTACGCTGTGCCGAACAGCTCAGCTGCCGTCGAAAAGAAGAACGCCCCGGCCGATAAACGGGCCCGAGCAGCCGCAGACGCTGCCGACACCAGACTGAGGCAGCAGATTTGGGTTACCGATTACGAGGGTGAAAGTACACAAGCGAAACCGGTTCTTTTCAAGACACTGGGCGCCACCCCCGAGGCTACCCCACGGCACCAGCCCGTACAGCACTTTCGGTGCACCTTAAATATCTTTGGAAAGGGAAATATGTTGTTCGCCGGACGTCTGATTCTGTTTTCGCTCTGCTACGCCCCAGAAAGTCCCTCGAACACGAGCTGGCCTCGACAGGCGGTTGCGTGTTCCTATTGTTGCCCGCTTGGTGGTGTTTAGTATATTAGCACAGTTGCGTAACACAGTTAACACTGCTACAACTCCCTTTACGGCGGCAAGTTGAATTTGAGTCCTTGGCAGTGTTACGTCTATAAAGACCACTCAACTGACGAAGCCAGGGTCGCGGTAGGCGTTTCGACCCCCCCCCCCCCTTTCCGGGCCCTCCCGAAATTATTCGATTTCGCACGTGCATAAAGTCACTGCCACACTCCCTCGCCATTTGAATTGAAAGATGGCGGGTATGTTATACCTAAAAAGCTTACAACCTTTTATAGGCGACATCTCGCAACATTACTTGACTGTTGAAAGAATTCTAGCCGTTGTGCTATAATCTATTTAAAGGAAGACATTAACGAAATCGGGAATTAATAAGGCCCGTTAATAAGAGATAATAAGGCCTATTTGTTTGCTTCTGATATTATATATTCACAAAACAATTTCCTATGGAATAAGGCCACTTTTACTTTAACCGAGTGATACAATATACACTGATTTCAGAGAGGTAATTCCAAAATGGACCATGTTCATGTCATCCATCAAACAGGTGACTGATAGGTAGATAGCGTGCAGCAAACTTCTTTGTATGAATTTCGTGGCTTATGGAAAGTTTTTTGATTCCCGTTATACCGTCGCTGATGGAGGTATTGCGTTATAAAGGAGTACAGGAAACTTTTATGTAAATACACTAGACAATACTTATATCTAGAACGCATGGATGCTTCACTTTTCCGCGAGAAAATCTGAGGAATACCGGTTGAAATGGTTAAGTTTATGAGACGCATTCTAACATATGCTATTAAATACATATTTGGAAAAAGCGCTTGTGGAGCAGGCCTATACAAACTTACGATCACATATCTCAAGAACCAACACTTTGCATATATAACAATCTACCGTTTAGCAACGCTGGAAACCGTTTAAGCCTACATATAAATGAGGATATGAATCTGGACCTAAGTGAAGAAAACATGAAAGGTATAGCTTCGCAAGAGGAATGATTGACAGGCCAGCCTCTGACGTCTGCCTAAGAATGCATTTATCTAGGGTCAGTCACTCACGGGGAATCTTGAGCAGGCCACACCGTGGTGGTCTAGTGGCTAAAGTACTCGGCTGCTGACCCGTAGATCGCGGGATCGAATCCCGGCTGCGGCGGAAATGTTGTAGGCCCGTGTGCTCAGATTTGGGTGCACGTTAAAGAACCCCAGGTGGTCGAAATTTCCGGAGCCCTTCACTACGGCATCTCTCACAATCATATAGTGGTTTTGGGACGTTAAACCCCACATATCATCAACCTTGAGCAGGAGAAGTAGCATGTCACTGCTTTTGAGGCTGTTGCAGACTATCTATACTTTTAGCAGTCATATTTTCTCTCGTTCTTTTTTTTTTCAATTATTGTGCATAATGTGATTCAAGCCCTTCCGCAATGCCTTCGGGCCTTGAAGGTACTGAAATAAATAAATAAATAAATAAATAAATAAATAAATAAATAAATAAATAAGAATGAAAGCACACTGTCGAGGTGAAATGAAACCCGAGAAGGCTCAAGAATTAATAAAGGTGACAGGCGCGCACCTCTGCTTTGGCAGCACTGCGGCATACGCACGTCTGTCCACAGCAAGGAGGAAGGAAATTGTTTCCTCTGTGGTCCACAGTGATAACAAGGTGGCGCGCACTACACCGTTACGAATGTACAGTACACAACTGTAGCGTATTTCTTAACGTTTCGCTAACTACAAGTCACCTTCCCTCTGCATGCTTCGCGTAACGCCGATTCCCAAGGTACGTGGGAATCTGCCGAATTTTTGTATTATTATATTTTAGCGCTCTCTTTTAGCGGCGGTGAACACCTAGCTCAGTTTACTGCACGCAAGCTGTTGCAGAATGACTGTGGGGAATGAAACATTAAAGAAGAGGGGAAAAAAAAAACACTGAGATGACCGCAAGAAGTAAACGTGCTATGCACTGCGTCAATCCATCCTTGAAGCTAAGTTTGCATCGGATGAGCCTTCAGTGACCTTCAGATTTTCAGTGTCATGGTTAATCGGTCTAAAGCGGCTGACGAAAAGACCCGGCACTGGGACCCGAGGTGCTCCCTGACGAATCTCTGCTGCCAACTTTTGACAGCGGTCCAAGAAAACAAGGCCTCTACAAAACAACTGTGTGGAAAAGGTTGGGAAAAGGAGAGGGGGGAGCGAGAGAATTGCGGACCTGGCAGAGCATGCCGAAAGCGGGACTGCTCAAGGGAGCACAGACTCTTTTATCGTCTATTAGCGTATATTTAGCAGCGTCGGGCGCCAGAGAGCGCCCTTTATGTAGTACATTCCGCGCATCCCTGTGCGTATACGCCTGTGCCTGTGGCATACGGGAAAAAAGAATCCGTCTTTCCATCGCTTCGGCGTAAGCGTTTCCCTCTTGACTGAATCTGAGGTTTAGTCATTAATTTTCGTCTCCATTGGCAGAAGAGATGATTTAATCAAATACCTGAAACCTAACATAACGTTTGCCTTCCGCATATATATGTTTTATAATTATAAAAAGTGCTTTTATTTCTTTTTGATAGCCTCATTTATTTGTTAGACGCAACCAAATGAATTCAACAAAGAACTACGTCAAGAAAAGACTAATATTCAGTCGTATTTTCTTTGCTTAATTATCAGTTCAGTTAATTTTGTTAGATAGATAGATGAATATGTAGGGTATAACGTCCCAAAACCAGCATTTGATTATGAGAGACGCCGTAGTGGAGGGATCCGA